ATCGATCAGAGCATTTATTAATATATTTGTCTGCTCTGAAGGACTACCTCTTGTGTGACTTAAAGGTCGAACTCATAGAGCCAACCCGTAAACTGGAGGAGACGCATCTGTCCGCTGTCGTATTTGCTAATCGGCTCCCTGAAATTACGGTGGTGACCGAGCGGAATGCTCCTACCGGATGTGTTATCAAACCAGCAGAAGCTTGTGTATCCCAAATATGCATGGTTACTGGAATTCACCCTTGCCTTTCGCACGGGTAAATGCGCACACAGGGGGAGGGGTCGGGACGACAGACGAAACTTCAAGAACAATCCAAGTCCCCGAGACGCTGAAAAAATCTACCGAAGTAGCAATAAAAACTGTAGGAAAATTTGCATTTTATTTGGAACACTTCAGACGTGAATGAATGATGATTAACGGAAAGACTGACATGTTTTTTTTTTAACGAAATCATCTCGTCGAAAAGATGGATAACAGATTGCAATTGCCAAGGGTGAGCGTATAGACATTTTATTGACTGTGTGGTGACGAACGAACGAGAGGGATCAGAGAAAGAATACCATAGCGACCAAAGTGAATGTTTTGGCGACTGTGCGCAGGCAAACACAATAAACCGAAACAAATGGAGCAATAACGAAAGAAAGCGGATGAATGAAACTAAGGCAAAATGAAATCTGCAAAACTTTGACGACAACTTCAGAGAGAGAGAGAACAAGAAACTGAATATACGCAAAATGATAACAATACGTCTGAGAGGAGGACTCTGCGGTAGGGACGGGAAGCGAAGAACTAATGTGCCTGAGAGACTGAACGGTGGGCGGGGGAGAGAGATTGTTCGACGGCGATGAGAACAAAAACGACGAAAACGGATCGAGGAGAAACACGGTCCAAACTGAGCAGATCGAAATGTTCAAAAGCGGGAACAGAAAAAAAAACCGGCTCGAACACGGGGGTTGGATCAGGTGGATTTTTCAACCGCAACATCGCCCAGTGAATTGCTCGAGGCAATGAAACGCAATTGTGGACTGGACACAACCGGTGATCCGCTGACCCATTGGCGAGCCCAACTGCTCACTCCGCCCCGTTTGATAGTCAAATAGAGAAAGGCTCCTTGGACTAGAATGGCATAAATGCACACAAGCCACGAAGTGGCCAACAGATAGGTGAACACACATAAACTGATGATCCACACAATCAAATTGAATGATCCAAGAAAAGTCAGTCGAGGTTTTCTCTCGCGGTTCCAACAAAAGGCCAAACTGTTTGGAACGACTTCGTTTTCGAAAACTCGCTTCTCTCTTGGCGCCTCTAAATTACAAGGGGAGAGAGAGAGAGAGCAAATGCTGATTCCGCGTACAGCTGATCAAGGGAGTAAGGGAACGGCGGAATTGATCTCATAAGTGTGCGCTAAAAGAGAAGTATTGTTGTAGAGTTTTCAGGTGTACGACTGATGCGCATATA